TGCACCCTTTCCGTGGGTAGAGTTCTGGAGTTTGCATTCATAATATATCTGGTAGGCGGAAGGGAAGGGTTAAACTAGAATTTCTGGTTGTAACTTTTTAGTGCAGGAGACCATAGTCTTTTAACATTTTAAAATATTACCAATTTTTATTTCATGTTTTTCCAAAGAGAAATTTTTAGCATGCACAGGCAAGTGGGAGATAAATAGAAATACACATTTTGTTTCTATAAACATTCATTTTTATTTTACACTCTGGTCATTTTTTACTGGAAGCAACTACACAGAAAATCTAGGCAAGTTGAAACAAAGCTAAACTTAACTCTAATGCTTTCTTAATTGCTCAGGCAATTTTTTTTGCAACTTTTGCAAATAATCATATGATGCATCTATTCAATCTATATATCTGCTTCCTGGTGTTTACTGCAGGTGAAAAATGCAGATGGTTACCTCTTCTCCATCAAGTGCTTTGATAATACAATTCACAGTTTTAAAGTTCCTAAGGCCAGTCAAGAGACAAGAGACGTAAGTCCCTCTTTATCTAATTCTAGTTAACTTGTAAAATAAAGTTCCATTGAATAAGTGTTCAATTTTTTGATTGACCAAGTAAAATCTGCAGTTAAGAAATAGTAGAAAACATTCTAGCCCACATGATGTTAGCACTTTTCCTGGTTTAAGACTAGTATCTCAGAGTATAGTATTTCATAAAAAGGAACCAATTTTCAACAACTCAAATCTCCTCACAATACCTTTGTCACCATCATATTTTATTGCCTCTAAATGGATGACAGGAGCCAATATGGTTGTTTTTTAAATGTCATGCATATTATAGTACCAGAGTTGAATTGAATTTAAATCTCACGTGACCTTCCAGAGCCCTACAAAAAGTTGCCTCTAAAATCTTAAGTGAGAGAAAAAGGGAAAAAATTAAATATAGGTAGAGTAATCATTAAGCAGAATAATTAATTCAAAATCAGTCTTTGTCCTGAGACCATCCACATCTTGGAATAAAGCATTTGGCACATGCCCAGAAATTAGTTGTATCCTTCAATCTATAAAAGGTATCATATCACAAGTGCATGTTCTACTAAACTGATTTTTTGTGCCCCATTTTATTTCAGAATTGGATACATGCAATAGAAGATCATTCAGCATATAGCACACATTACTGTACTCAGGAACAACAAAGTGATGAGGAGGAAGAAATTGATGCAACATCTATTGCTGAGTTACAAGACTCCCTAAAAGTAAGTGAGAAGAAGCTTTTTTATTTATTTCAAGCAATCTACTGTGAAAGTCACTAAACGTTATAGACCAAAATATTTGAGAAGCATCAGGTTTGCCTAGTCTGACAATTTATAGAATTATATGTATAGAATTCTGGATTTCTTCCTATGAAATATCAGCACAATACTAGTAGAACATAATGCACATAGATAAAACCATAAACCCAGTTATGTGCAAAATAGCTTTATATTTATAATAATTTTCAAGTCCAAAATAGGTTTTTCAGATATGGATGTAGAAGCTGTAGTTTGGCAAAGACAATATTTTGAGTGTTACCTCTAAAATGACATTCTAGATTAATATATCATTGCTTTGAAGAGACGATTGCATATAGGGAAATATTCTGGACATAATTCTGGACTTATTGTACTCTGACTTCATAGGGCTTGCTTCAGCTCTAAGACTGTGGTCTTAATATATGGCTGTACTGTCCATCAGCACATCATCATCAGGCATTTACAGAAAGACATTTTCAGTGGCAGGGCTAGATTCTAGAATTTCTTTCTTTGGTGTTGTTTGGCCAAAAAGCTAAACTATATATAATTAATCCTTGGTTAACATCAATAATTAGAACTGGGAAACTCTACCACAAAGTAGTGTGTTCATGTCAATGGTCACACATACCTGACCATTCCAATGTACAACAGCAGTTCCTGCAATCCAGGTTGTGGTCACTAAGCAAATTGCATATGGTCATTAAGTTCAATGTCATGTTATCACCATCTTCAACCTGCCAACTTCTCCATTGGCTTTGTTGGAAGTCAGCAGGAAAGATTGCAAATGGCAGTCAAGTGTCCACAGGATTGCAATTGTTGCATTTCAACTGTGAGCTAGTTGCCAAGTGTCGAATCGCAACCATATCACTGTGGGGGAACACTGTGATTTATTGTAAAAATAATAAAGGCGGGAAATAAATAATTCTGGCATTCAATGGAAAAGAAGACAAGGGTACTCTAGATCAGGAGTCTCCAACCTTGGCAACTTTAAGACTTGTGGACTTCAACTTCCAGAATTGAAGTTGAAGTCCACAAGTCTTAAAATTACCAAGGCTGGAGATCCCTTGCTCTAGATTGGTTGTTTTGTTTTGTTTTGCTGTTGCTACTTCTAGGCAGAAGAGCGAGCTCATCCCTCCTGATTAAATCTTAAACCATAATAAAATTATACAGTATCATACTCTGTTAATTAGATTCCATGTCAGTGTCTATCATCAACAGCTGTTTAGCAAATAGCCACTATCTAAGACAGAAATTTGTTTCTGTCTTGCCAATAGCATTGATCTTTCTAGACTGGAAGAATTATTACATTAATATACATCGGCTTTACAAAATCATATAACAACTGAGAAATTACTTATGGTTCATTGTATCTTGTATCTTTATCTCTCCTTGAGTCCCCATAGAATTCTCTCTTTTCTAATTTCTGTATACCAGCTTTGTCCATGAATTGAATCAGCTCAGAATAGTTGTGTCCTTTTTCTTTAATGGGAGGAAGTGTGTTTTGGTACTGTATACCTACCGTAATAGCAAAAACCTTCAGGAAAAAAGTAGTGTATGGTTTTTCTCTTGTGGTATAGAGAAGGTTGAGGTCATTTGTTTGGAAAGTACCTGCCTCCTCACCCATCTTTTCTAATTCTGTCAAGCAATGCAGAAATGTTTGGTTGGGTAGAACCAGGAGCTTTAATAATAGAAAGCTGCTGCATATGCTGAGCTTGCAGTGTTCCTAGCAATAAAATAGAACACAAGGTTATGTGTATTATCCATTCCTTAGTAATAAGTATTTGATCAAAGAAGGGACTGACTTTTTAACGTAAATACTAGAAGAGGGGTGTCAAACTGGTAGCCCGCAGGCCAGATACATGCAGGCCACACCTACACCAGCTCCGTGAAGGGGGAAAACGTCACGAAATGTCACTTGATGGCAAAGTGACACCTCAAGCTTGATACCCGTGTCCTACAGCTTTTGGAATGGGACAACTATAACAAACCATCATCACCTAAATATAGTTTTGATGGTGACATGGTACGGCAGCCATTTCACCTTGTAACTGTTGTATTTCTGTGAAATTACACTACAATTGAGCCTGGAATTACAATGCAAATCATACCATTTGTTAAGCAGATCATCACTGACCTGATTTTATGATATTTTTTATGGTAATCATTAAACAAATCACCATGGCCATTAAGCAAATCCTTAATCATTAAGCAAAGCCATGGTTGTTAAATGAACACATTGCCTGCAATGGGTGTTTTTTGTTTGGCCAAAAACCAGCAAAGTAAACAGTTATTTTAGGCAAAAAAAAAACCCATGGTAAATTGTGATTGTTTGATTATGGGACACTGAAACCATCCGTAAAAGCAGGCCGACTGCCAAGCACCCAAAATAGAATCATGTGACCCGGAATAAGGTGGCCCTGCCATTGGAATTTCAAATCCAGAGCTTGGGTAACTATTTTGGCTGTTTTATCTTCAAATGAGTTGCTAAGTCACTGGTTGTAAGTTGAGGACTATCTTGTAGTAGACATTTTTTTAATGAATAAGGATACTTTGTTCAGAAATTAAGAGCATGTATAATTTTTACTCCCTGAAAAGAATTAGTTTTCAGTATCACTTTACTGCCATTTAGTGGTCATCTGGAATCATGCAATTCCAATATGGTATCTTTATTATTTATTTGTTTGTTTGTTTTGTCAAAAGCTTACAATATAACAGAAACAAGAATAAACATGTTTAAATATAGGAAATAGGAACTAATAATTGGTGACAATAGGACTGGGATGGTAGGCACGATTGTGCGGTTATGCACACCCCTTACAGACCTCTTAGGAATGGGGTGAGGTCAACAGAGATTAGTTTGAGGGTAAAGGAGTAGAGGTTTGAGCAGGTGACAACAGAATCAGGTAGTAAATTCCAGACATTGACCACTCTTGCTGCAATCATACTTCCTGCAATCAGGTTTGGAGTGGTTTACATTTAGTTTATATCTGTTGTGTGCTCATGTTGTTGTTGTTAAAGCTGAAATATTCATTAACTGGTAAGATGTTGTAACATGATTTTATGTACTATGCTTAAGTCTAATTTTAGTCGGCGTCGTTCAAGGTTGTCTAAGCCTAGAATCTCAAGTCTGGTGCTGTAGGGTATTCTGTTGCGAACAGAGGAATGTAGTACTCTTCTGGTAATGATTATGTGAAGCTTTTATGTACTATGATAAATCCTTTTTTCTTCCCTCTGCAGATTGCACAGTCTTGCCACCAACGACTAGATAAAGAAATATCCAGCTTCCAATCTATGATTACTCAATCTGATAATCCCCAAGGTAACCTTTGTAATCAATAAGCAACTACACAGATTATCTGAAATCTTAATCTTAAATCCAGTTGGCAACGTTGTTTGTTGATAAACATAAATCACTTCTACTTTGTCTGCCAAACTTCTCCTTTTTCAAGCATATTCTGTATAATTCTCAGAGTGGGGTAGTAGAATACATTGCTAGCTTCTGCCTCTATAAGAAGTGTAAGTACTATTTTGTATGGAATATAAAAGCAACAGCAGTCTGAAAACATAAATCTAATACCTATGCTTCTTTTTTGTAGGACTACCTACTTTGTTTCTCAAAAGAGCGGAAGAAATCTCTAAAACAGCAAGAGAGACTTGTGAAGTCTTAAGTAACTGTATCAAACTCTTCACTAGACAAGAAGGGGTATGCCATACTTTTAAAAATGGGTCAGAACAGTCAGAGTTATCTGTAAACCAAGAATAGCAGTGTTATATACACAAATACTTTTTCTCTCAGTCCAGTTCTTCACTCTGGTAACTTATTTCTCACTGTTGTGTTTATGTACTATAAGATTTTAAGTTTTTCCAACTGTGCCCTCCTGCTGTTTTGAACTGATTATTAGCCATTTAGATAATGGGACTGTAGACTAAAACATATGGGGAGCATTAAATAGAGATTCTTCAAGATCATAGCCTGGGAAACTTTCCCAAATGTTTGGAAACATAGCAGAGCAAGTTTGTAATAATAACTCATTGATAAAGGAAAAAATTGGATGGTACATGGTACATAGTTACAAATTGAAGATAAAGGGTTAAGAGCTAACAACTTTCAGAGCTCGGTGGTCATTTTGAAGCAAATTAATTATGCTGCTCATGATCCTCCACAAAAGCTATCCAAGTTAATTGGTATATTCTTATAGTGATTGTACAGTTTTAAATACGTGCTGTGTGTAATACCTTTATGTTTGTCTTCAATCTTATTTCATTTGATTTCATTGAAAAAGTATGGTTTATATTATTAGAGCTATACAAATTTCTTTCTCCGCTTTCCACACACCATGCATAATTTTAAATATGTCTACTACATTTGTTTATTTTCTTAAAAATCGAGACGCTTATTTTCTTGTTCTAAATAGTCCCAAATACTTGCATTTCCTCATAGGAAATTAATAGTTCATTGAACATTTTGGTTGATTTTCTCAGCTTTTCTTGCTCTAGTATATACTTTTTGAGATATAGTGATAAAATGTACATAGCCTTATAAATTACAGATTTAAATAGAGTTGTTTTTCGGTGTGGGGTTAAGCTTAGTTTTAGTGGATATGGTTTGATTTTAAATTAATCATTCATCATCGTGTAATAGATGCATGTTCAGCTTTGATTTTATTTGAATAATTAGGATGTGGAAATGAGAAAGCTTGCATTCACTGCAAATTGCACTAGTGACCACATGACAATGCAGTTTATAGAGTGAACTCATTGTGAACCCAGAAAAGCTGGAGTAGGGAAAATATGAATGTATATTATCCTGTTAAAAGCAAATTAGGGAAATATTTGTATGGGATTAGCCAGAATAATTTATACATAATTGCAAATAAATAACAATATATAGTTGCCCATCTTAAATACATTACTCTGGGCAGCAAACAATCCATAGGAAAACAGGATTAAATCCTCCATAACCTATGGAAATAAGCCAATACAAAAAAAAAAAAACAGAAAACCAACTTGCTGGTCCTAATGCCTAGGAGAAAAACAAGTTTAACAGCCTTTGAGAGTCCAACAAAGTTGGAATCATTTAAATTTCAGGGCAGAGGCTGTTCCATAGAGCAGGCAGCACAGCAGAGAAGGAAGGCACAGTACATGCTATATAAATATGTATGGTAAGTCTGCGGTGTAAATCATGTGTCATCAAACTGCTGCAAGCATATTTTTGGTTGAGATATTATGCATATACTTCTAAGGCTTGAATCTGCTGTTGGAAATAAAGGTTAAGACTATACTAATGAAGTTTTTGTTTAGATTATGTCAAGGCTGTATGATTAGAGGAAGGAAAACAGGTCTGAAGAGTTGTTGAAGGCACATTAAAATGAAAGTAGAATTGAATGTATGGAGAACAGAATGTAGGTATCCTCCTGACAATAGAATTGGAAGTTAATTACTGGACCAAAGGGGAGTAATTATGCTATCGTTTTGTAAAGTCTGCTGTTTAAGACTGTAGGGATGATATATCTCCCAGCATGCAGTTTATTTTCTCTTTGTTTTTCTTATGGATTCACAAGTGAGTGAAGTCAGTTATGCTGTGCCTCCACAGTAAAGTAAGATCAATAGTGTAAATGTAATGCTTATGTAGGTTTCTCCTACTCATACACTGTCCTGCCTCACTATTTTTGCCTTCTTGAGCATACATTTGCTGATGTCATTTTTTTGTCTTGAATTCCTGATGGCATATTGGATCCTTGATTTGCAATAGCTTTGCCATTGTCAGCCTGATCAGGTTTGGAGAATTTTCCTTGAGCCACAACTGGTCTTAAAGGAAAATTTCCATCTGTTCAAATGGCCTTTGGTTTTCTACAACCATTAAGGTGAAAAAAATTAGGCAAATTCTCATGTTTTGTATTTTGATGTAATGTTTCATAGGATTGCATATGCTAAAGGACAGACTAAATATAGATGTGGTTAACATCAATTTTAAAATGTGTAATTAAGCCAGCTCTTGCTATTCATACCCATTAATGTATAAATTTGATATACCACGGCACTTTCTCTTGATGTCTTCCTGTAGCATAGCCCTTATTGTTGACCTTGACTTGATGTTAGTGCCTTTTTTAAAAAATAAGAGAAATGCTAGATAAGGTTTTATTATCTCAGAAAATGAATTTTAAAAATACTACAGGAAAAAATAGCATGCAACAAAAATAATGAATTTTGTAAGTGATTACAGTTCCAAACTTATTCACTATGGAGTAAACCCATTGAATTTAATGTGTTATTGAAACATTTAGGATTGTGCAGAACTTGGTTTTGTCTCATGCCTGTTTTCCTAAGCAGTCTAAGTGTTGTTTGAGAGCTGAGCAACTTCTAAAACCAACAAGGGAAAGTAATTAGTTTTTCAAGCAATACCATATATTCTGGTATGCAATCCAATGAATCTATCTGGGCCTGTTTGTCAATTATTGTGTGCAATCACCAATTCAAAATGTATGTGTATTCCCTGAGAATTGCAAACAATTGTTAACGACACTATTTGGGCCAGCAGCATTTTCAGCTTCTGACACCCAAGATACTAAAACAACTAGTTAAATCTTTTAAAACTGAAAAATTGACTAATCATTTTTATAGATATTTGCTACTGATAAATCAATTTGATATGCAAAAATTAAGAGATAAATGGAATAAAGAATTACAGGTAGCCCTCCACTTGTGACTACAATTGGGACTGGAATGTTGGGTTTGGACAAAGCGGACAGAGCCCACATCTCCCAATTACAATAGTTAAGTGGACGGAGTGAAACATCTGCCTGCCAAAGGAGGGCAGGCAGCTTCCCTCCATGCCCAGAAGGGGGTTCCTATGGTGGGATGCAGGAACAGAGCTTGAATCTTCAGGATCCCCATTTTGTTTCTCCAGTTCAATGCAGGAGTTCCTCTCCTCTCCAGGCATAGAAGTGAACTCCTCCACCAGGCTGGGGGAATGAAATGGGCGTTGGTAGAAGTTACCATGAACGACCTTTCTATCTATGCTGCAAGAGAGCCCAGGATGGGTTGACTCCTTCCTATGACGTCATAGCTGAGTCTGTACTAAGATATAAAAGCCAGCCCCTGGGAGAGACTCCAGCTTTGGTGAAGATACTTGACAGACTGAAAGGTGTCTCTGAAAGCCCAAAATGAATACAGAAATATGTCTTACCCTCTCCGGACGAATGAAGGGAGGGGCTGGGCTCTCTCGCAGCATAGATAGAAAGGGCATTCACGGTAACTTCTACCAGCGCCCATTCTCCTCCATGCTGCATCGAGAGCCCAGGATGGGACATACCAAAGCTTGCATGTCCACAGGCGGGTCCTCGTCTGGCTCATCACACTGACTGTGGAACCACTCGTTGAAGCACCCATCTGCCGAAGGCTGCAGTCACCGAGGCAAAAGCATCCAGACGGTAGTGTCTGATGAAAGGAGACGGGCATGTCCACATGGCCGCACAACAAATCTCCTCCAAGGATGCTTGGGTCGCCCAGGTAGCAGAAGTGGCCGCACTTCTGGGAGAGTGCGCCGTCAGACCTCGGGGAACCAGAAGGGCTGCAGCTTTGTAGGCCTGCTCAATGCAAGACCTGACCCACCTGCTAATGGTAAGAGAAGAGGCCTTGTGCCCCAAGTGAGAAGGGAAAAAGGAAACAAACATGGCTTCCGACTTCTTGAAGGAGGAAGTGCGCTTAATGTATATTCTAACAGCCCTTCTTACGTCTAGCGTGTGCCACTGCTGCTCTAAGTCATGGTGCAGGAGAGGACAGAAGTCAGGCAAAACAATGTCCTGGGACCTGTGAAACCAAGTGTTAACCTTCGGAATAAATGAGGGGTCCAGACGAAGAACAACCCTATCATTGTGAAAGAAACAAAGGTCCTGTCTGATGGAAAGAGCAGCAAGCTCGGAAACCCTCCTGGCAGAAGTGATGGCAACAAGGAACACTACCTTCAGAGTCAGGAAACAGAGAGACACTGTTCTAAGGGGTTCGGGGGGGGGGGGGTTTGTAAGGGCATTAAGGACCAAATGAAGGTCCCAGGAAGGATACCTGTGAACCACCAGAGGGTGCAGGTTGGAAGCCCCTTTCAAAAACCTCCTGACTGAAGTGTGATGGGATAAGGAAGGAAGCGAACCTCATGAAAGGACTGAGGAGAGGGCCGCAACCTGCCTGCGTAAGGTGTTGGGGGCCAAACCTTTCTCCAGCCCATGCTGAAGGAAGCTAAGAACTTCTGCCAACTGGGCTGAAGCAGGAGAAAGACCCTCCCTGAGGCACCATCGGGAAAAAGCCTTTCAGGTGGCATCATAGATGCGCCTTGTAGGTGGTTTGTGAGAAGCCAGGATAGTGAGGATGACTCTTTCTGAAAGATCAGCCTCCTCTAGCCGCTGCTGCTCAAGTGCCACATGATCAGCTTGAACCTCTGGGGCTCTGGGTGGAGCAGAGCCCCTGGTGAAGGGAGATTAGATGGGCAGGGATCCTCCAAGAAGAAGCCACCAATAGGTTGACCAGGTCTGCAAACCAGGGCCTCCTTGGCCAATAGGGTGCCAGGAGGAGGAGCTCCGCACGTTCCTACATCTTCTGAGTTGCTGCCAGAATGATGGAAAGGCGTAGAGGAGACCCTTGGGCCATCTGCACCGAAGAGCATTGGTCCTCTCCGCTCCCTGGCAAGGAAACCTGGTGAAGAATCTGGTGACTTGGGTGTTTTGAGGAGTGGAGAAACCATCCACCTCCGGTGTCCTGAATCTGAGGGAAAGATCCCTGAATAGAGACGGAGGAATGGACCATTCTGCCTGGTTGACTAGGCTCCTGCTGAGCCAGTCGGCCTGGGAGTTGCCGACCCCGGAGATGTGGTCCGCCGAGATCGATAACAGGTGTTTCTCTGCCCATAACCCCAACTGTAGAGCCTCTCTCATGAGGGCTTTGGACCTTGTTCCCCCTTTGCCGTTTGACATGAGCCTTTGCGGCCATGTTGTCCGTAAGGACTAGAACATGAGAGCCGGTCACTGATTGCCTGAAATGCTTGAGAGCCAGAAAAATAGCTCTGAGCTCCAGCCAATTTATGGGAAGGGTCTGTTCCGATCTGGACCAAACACCCTGAGCTATCTGGCCCTGCATATGGGAACCCCAACCCAGGAGGCTGGCATTGGTGGTTATCACTAGCCTGTCTGGGTCCCTGAACAGGAGTCCCCTCCAGATAGATGGGGAATGCTACCAATTGAGAGATCTCCGGATTTGTGGCGGGAGTGGGACCTTGATGGATGAGTGGGTGGTTCCTGCTCATTGGTAGGGAAGCAGGAACCATTGGAGGGCTCGGAAGTGGAGCCGAGCCCACGGGACAATGACAATACAGGAAACCATCTTCCCCAGAAGTTTGGACAGCAGCGACAGGGGGACAATTTGATGTTGCTAGATCTGGATGATGATCTCTGCAAGGCTCTTTACACGAGCTGGGGACAGGAAAACCTGGCACGACATGGTATTGATGACTGCTCCCAAGTGTTGCAATTTGGTTGTAGGAGAGAGCTGGCTCTTTTGGGTGTTGATGGAAAATCCATGGCTCTGGAGACATGACAGGGTAATTTGCAGATCCGGATGGGCCGCAAGGATGGAAGACGAAAGAATCAAAATGTCATCCAAGTAGCATTGGATCCTCACTGGAATAGAACGTAGAGATGCCATCAATGCTGCCAGAACCTTTGTGAAGACCCTTGGAGCCGAAGAGAGGCCGAAGGGAAGTGCTCGATATTGGTAATGGGTATTCTGAAAACAGAAACAGAGAAACTGGTGATGATGAGGCCAAATTGGGATGTGGAGGTAAGCCTCAGTGAGATCAATGGAAGAGAGGAGGTCGCCCTCCTGAACACTCTCTAAAATAGAATGCAGAGTCTGCATTTTAAATCGCCTGTATTTTACAAAATGGTTGAGAAATTTTAGATCAAGGATGGCTCGCCACCCCCCTGAGGCTTTGGGAATGATGAAAAGGTGAGAGTAAAGCCCACGTCCTCGTTGAGATGGGGGAACAGATTGAATAGCCCTGATTTCAAGAAGGTGCTGAATGGCCTGATTCATGAGGGCTTGCCTGGAAATGTCCCGAGAGACAGGACAGATCAAAAAAATTGGGGTGGTGTGGTGTTAGGAAGTCCAATTGTAA